TCTCCAGTTACTGGAATAAGCCCTGAAGAGCTTATGACTTCGATGTGTCGTTCACTTGGATAGTGTCTGGTACGATGCGATACGACCGATTGGATCCTCCCCCGGAGAGCAAGTTCGATTAGAATGCAACCTCGTAAAACATATGAAATGGAGTCATTGAAAAGAGACAAATGACCCTAAAATAAATTTTGAACACACCAAAAACCTCTTTGTCGTGTAATCCTAGCAATAAAATTTGCTCCATAAGCGTTAATGAATCAATGTCGGTCTCAAAAGAGGTATTCGAGGAGGGATTAGTGTGATATTCGACAGTGGAGTATCTTATATATCGCCTATGAATCAAAGACGTTGTTGTATGTGAAAATGGTGCTGGAGGAATCGTCTCAATGACAACAGAGGGAGGCGTGGGCAATGGCAAATCCTCTGTTGGCATAGTATCCATGCAATTGATGGAAAATTTTTTAAATTTCGATTGTTCTTTTGTTATTGAAAAGCCTGCTCATAAATAATTAAACTTAAGCTGCTTGAAGTTACTTATTACTTTCCAAAAATATCTTTGAAAGAATGCGTATTTCCGGCAAGTTATTATTTCTGGAATATATGTTGTGACACACGACAACCAAAGCTACACACAAACCACGGRAACGAGCGGCAAATAATTTTAAATTAAAAAATTTGCCAAATTTTCAAATTAATGGTTTATAACATCGGAGTCCCATTAAAGCTTCTCCATGAAAGCCAGGGGCTGACGGTCACCGTGGAGTTAAAAACCGGATACATATATCGCGGAAAGCTCATGGATATTGAAGATAACATGAATATACAACTGCGCGAAGTAACTGTTACAGCCAGAGATGGGAAAATGACCTCTGCCGACGGTGTTTTTATCCGCGGGTCTTCCGTCAGATATTTCATTGTTCCTGATAATCTACGCTATGCGCCTTTCCTGCAAACAAAGACCGCTGCAAGGGGGGCTGGAATATCTGCCGGAGCCGGCTCGCTTCCTAACCTCGTGGGTCGCCCTGTCCACCGTGGAACCGGTGGAAGGGGCGGGGGTCCCATTCCGGCAATGCGAGGCCCGCCAAGTAGGGGCTTACATTTTATAACATTTTAGTCGTTCGTGCCAGACGGTAAATTCCAAATATTAATAAAATTTTCAAACTCATGGATCATCATATTAGTGGCTGTCCTGCTTCAGCATGTACTGGAGACGTTTCCCCCGGTGTTAATTCACCATCTGATGTTTTTTTCACACCAGGGGCAAGTTTTTGCGACTTGAACGCTGATTCGTTTGCGGACCCCGGTAACTTTTATGGCGAATTTTGCGCGGTGGTCCTGGATCCATTTGATGCCGTCAGACTATATTCGCATTCCGGATGTTTCGGATCGAATTTTTCTTCCAAGGGCGGACCTATCCTCAGTAAATGTGGGAAGAAATTGCTCGAGCCTTACTACCTATCTGTCGAGGAGGTGGTCTATTTGAGCGTGACCTTTGGAGAACGGTTTTTGTGCTGCAAGAATATTAACAAGGCATCATTGCTGCTTTGTAGTGCTCGGCCCACAACTGCAGACACATTTTCGTATGCCTCCATAGATCAGTATAGCCTTATCTGCAAGATTGTTAAGCATTTATCGGCAGAAGGTATTGATCTACCTTTTTGTACTAGACCTCTTTCGTGTTTGTGCTTATGCTTACTTCAAATCAAAGCATTGGATCATCAGGTCGGGATTAAAGTACGGGTCTGATTTTCTCCTGTATTCGAGACCCCCCGGTACAGTGCATTCGGAGTAAGTGGTTGCCCCTGTCAATGTATTTCTTCGGTCATTTTTATTCTGGCATCTGTTTGCATGCCTAGCGTAGCCTTGCTTGTTTTGGGAATCAAATAATGATTTAGATATTCCGTTGTTGTACAGAGTACAAAGATCGCCTCAAGTGTTGGTTTGTGCAGGTTGACTGAAAATGTTCGAAAATCGCTTCTCTTGTACCATGTGGATGCGGGAGTTGATGTAAAAGACATTTCTCGGTGGGTCAATGCTGCCCCAGATACCGGGGGCTCTGTTACTATTCCCAGTGTCGCCTCATCAATTGTACAAATTTCATCTTGGTCACCAACGTTTCAACCATGAATTTTTTCCTCTTCTGCGGGCACACTAACGAAATCCTTTATTGTTGCAATTTTTATGTTACGCCATAACCATCGTATTTGCGGGTAGCTTGTAGAGCCGCAAGTTTTGGCCATGAATAGACTTGGGGATGTTACCTTCCGTCATTTGGTCGGGCCGTGAATAGATTTTCTCCGTTTTTCCGACCTCAATGTCCATTTGCTGTGGTATCTTGTAAAACGAGGATTGTGACTTGGCGGCTTTAGCCTCTTCTTTTTTACATTCCTTAGACCTTATCCAAGTGTACAAGATCGTTCCGATAATAGTAATGGCGATACTGATGACACGAGATGTTGTTAATATTTCGCCGAGGATTAAAACGGCCAATAGGGTTTGAATGATCCCTCTTGATGCCGACGACAGCGTATGTGTTATCGGGCTATGTGGTGGATGAGAATGGAAAAGTCGTTTACCTTGTCACCTTAATTTGCAAAAACCCGGCAAGGTTTATGAGAAGACCGCAAACGCCCTAATGGTGAGCATTGATGTAAACAACGTACTGCCAAAACAGAGCCAATCAGAAACATTCCCGGCGTAGCGACAGCGGACACGCTCGCCACAGTGAACAACTGAATTATGCCATTTGTCTCAATAAATATTAACGGAAATAGAAGAATAACGGACAGTAAGTTATTATAATATACCAAAGCAACGGCACCATCAATTATCCTTAGCGACTTTTTAATCACAATGGAATGAAGAGCAGAAGTCGATGAGCTGACAATGCCAAATATTACTCCAAGCGTAGAAATGTGGACATCTTTTTCGATGAAAATGCCGATCAAAAAGCCACCAGACACGATGGCACATGCAATCAAAACCGGAATAGAGCTTTTCTGCTTCAAAATGATGGCAGAAAGGATCACGGTAAATGGAAGTATCAGTGCTCTGGCAACTTGGTATAAAGATGCATCTAAATATTGCAAGCAAAGTGTGTTCATAGCAAGCCCGAGTACGTTGATAAGAATCAATGGCGCCAATCTAATTAAAATGTCAATCGAAAGAGGGGCAAAAGGCGAACATATCCTTGTAAGCTCAAGCAGCTTCAGTAGGACTGCAGCAAAGGCAAGCTGTATCCATAACAGAGTCAAGGGAAGAGCAAACACATTGAGCACCATTTTGTTAATAATGACCATCGMAATCGAGGTCACCAAGTAAAATAAAATGGCAAAAACAACAGAACTCTTCGATGGTGGCCGTGAAGAAACGCCAATTGACGATGATCCCGCATCATTTTTTTTCAAGGATTCCTTAGCCGTGGAGACATGAATTGACAAAGAAGAATCTGCAGATGAAGATTCTAGTTTTGGCATTTGAGTGCAATAATTGTTTTTCGGATGGAGGGATCCCGTGGCAACGCAATCGGCCACATCATCAATGGTTTCTGCCCCTGTAGACTGACTGCACTCTGTGACGGTGTGGTCGGAAAGTTGAATCGAATTGGGATCGGAAGAAATGGTTGAAGTGCCAAGTGTTTGAGCATCTACCGAGCCAATCATTGGCTCGTCAATGGCACTTGGAGTGGCATTTTTAAGGGCGATTTTGGCTGCCTCCTGCGCCACAACATCATATGTGCAAAAGTTGGCAGCAACACCGTGGGTAGCAGAGTCTTGGGGTTGATTTGTTGGCTCCTCTGCTGGCGAGCGGAGCGAAATCTGTGGGTTGGACATGAGGAATCAAAAACTCAAACGCCATTGTTTACATATTTTGATCAAATTGGCTGATAAAAAAGATTTGCAATATGAACTTAATTTATGAAAACCTTGTCGTAGTTGGAAGCTATTTTATTGTCCCAATTGCCCAGCACAATCAGGTCTGCTATCAAATTTACAGAGTCATATCTATCTGAGGACCGTAGGTCAGAGGGAAATTTCCTGCCACAAAAGCAGGGATTTCCTTCGAAAAGCTCATCAAGATTGATATATTGTTTTAAATGGCTCGAGATGTATATGAAATGCCGATAGCTCTGCATGGCAACCTCTTTTTTGAGGGACTTGATATCCGATGTGGCATCCCTGATCAAGCTCAGTTCGTTTTCTCTGCGTAGCATGGAGCCTGCTGACGTGGCTATTTTCCCCTTTTTGTCTCGCAGAAGCTGGGAGCCACCTTGCTTTTTTCTGCACGAGTATGTTCTCTTTTCCCTGGAAAACACTAGCTTAATTTCACCACGGTTGACGCAATAGTTGACCACCCGGATGAACTATTCTTCTGCCGTTATGTAAATAAAAGTAAAAGCCAGGTCGATATACGTGGATATTTTGTCTGCAGTGGCTACAATGACCTCCTGTGAGATTGTTTCGCACTTTTCAGTGCTGAACAAAGAACGATGCACACAAACGCGCTCCGGAAATTGCGATAGTGGATTTACGGTTTCATGTGTTGATGCAAACGAATTCAGAAAACGAATCCACGAGTCAGAGTTTAAATTGACAAAATCGGCCTCAGAATCATCTTGCTGCATCGGGAGATGTGGAAAAGAAGGAAGAGACTCATTTTGTAAAAGAAACGCTTTTACGGGGAGAAGAGTAAATTCGCTATATTTAAGCGAACAAAGCCCATAATATGATCGCTTGACGTTGGTCTTATGCCATTGCGACAGGAAATGCAGTCGCTTTTCGGTAGAATCTAAAAAGTCGCCCTCATTTGGGCAGTATTGGCAGCTTTTGGACATAAAATCCGGCTTCTGTTGCGATAAAGGCAAAGCATGTGTGTGTTTTTCCCTCAAAATGAATACGGTTCGCGACTCGATGGTCTTGGCCGATATTTCGAGCGTTTGCTCCTGGCTTTTCATGGCAAAAAAGAACGAAATGGCATTGAGAACACAATGCTTTGATGGATTCATGAGAAAAATTAAAAATAATTTTTGTGCCCTTTATGTATTTGGAGGACGAGCAAAACGTCCAAATTTCTCATCTCGTCAAAAAGGCGTTGGAGGGAATCGAGTGGAGACCCAAAATGTCGCTCTTGATCATATTTCAAAGCGCAAAGGAGCTGTTTGCATCGGTGCCCGATTGCTTGTTTGCTTATTTGATAGGCCACAGAAAAAATGAACGCTAATCAATTGATCGATGCTTTTATTTTGTTTTACCGATTTTCAATGTAAGCATGGCCGCAATAACCACCATTAGCGTTTCGTTGAAATTTATTCCTAATCATCCAGAGTTCCTTTCTTTTAGAAGCTGTTCTACATTCCAAGATTTACTACAAGTGCGCCGATGATTTGTACTAATTTTCTTGTAGTCTGTAAAAATAGCATCTATTCATCTAGCGTCTATTAAAGCAGACATTTCGGGCAATTCAATCGCGCCCACTAATCGTGCTGAACAGCTTGAAAACGAAAAAAATCTATTGGATCCCTTTATCGATGTTCATGATCAGGCTGGTGGCGGCGGTGACGGAGCTCCAGATGCATCTGCTAAAACTCCAAAAAAGGCCACGTACTCACGTAGTAGCCCAGTGGCGCCTAGAGGATTACCCAATATCCGCAATAACTGCTACTTAAATTCACTTTTTCAGTCGTTATTGTCTGCATCTGAAGTTATCCTTTCCGAATTTAATAACAAGATCTGGTATCACCGAGATGCCCACACGCAATCAAAAGAAAAAAAGTACATTGCTCGTGCTAATGTGGATAGAACACTGTTGGGGTTTGCTTGGTTTCCAAACGAGACCGAAATCGAGTTTCCATCCTCGCTAGCATCGCAGTTTGTAAATTTCCTTTGTTCAGAAAAATCGAGTGTACTGTCCCCTGTATTTGCCCTACAAGTAGAAACCCCCGTTAAAATATAGGCATCCATCTGGAAAAAGTGGCCGAATTTCGGAAACGGCCGGCAACAAGACGTTCATGAAGTCTTGCTGGAGCTTTTGGATGCTCTGCACGTAGACTTTTCCGCCACAAAAAAGTCCGTCAATTCTGAATTTAGAATATCAACCTTTGACGGTTTGGATGGTATTGCTTCGGTAAGTCAATGGTCGCTCAGTTGCAGTCTTCCGATCGAGCCATTTCCTGTTTTCGAAGCAGCCCTGTTTTTGAAATCTTTCACAGCATCATTGTCACAATTCTGGAATGCTCATTTTGTAAAATAGCCAGCTTACACTTTACCCCGAATGTGATCATTTCGTTAAATCTACAAGACACCCACTGCACCTTGATCAACTGCATTGAAGAATATTTCAAGGTCGAAGAGCTGCCTCGTACATGGACATGCTCCTCCACATTTTGCAACAATTCTACAAAGGATTCTTTTGGATACAAGAGGCTCCTTATTTCGCGGTTTCCGAAAATCTTCATTTTTCATTTGAAACGGTTTTCGCATGACGGCAGGATTGCAAAGTCCAATAGAAGTCTCATTGAGATCCCTAAAAAAATCGATTTGTCCACTTGGGATGTACTTAAGCAGCCCCAAGTGTACGAGCTGTCCTCAATATGCACTCATCGAGGAAATACAGACAGCATACATTCGGGCCATTGTATGCTCTTGATAAAGCTAATCGCACATAGATATGACCATAACAAAGCGACCTAATTGTGGAGACAACAGGTGGTTTATATKTAATGACGAAAAAATAAGCAAACTCCCTACTCT